TCAGACAAGAATTTTACTCCTCTTATTCCTGCCAAAGAAGCTACGAACAAATATATCCATTTCTGTTTGTTTTCTCTGAGATAACTCTTTAAAAGTTAATTGAGTTGATTTCTTGATTACTGTAGATTCCTAAATATACGCGAGGAATTAATTATCGCGTAATTACGCGAGAAGCATCTGTCCCGAAATAAAATTACTCGTTTTTATTTTTATTGTGCTGAAATCCATGTAAAATCAGTTGATCAACCATCCATTCGCGAATTATTGTTCTCGCGATTTGACGTTTAAGGGCCATTTCGCGATATTAAATACCCGCATAAAATAAGGAATCTACAGTATTCTACCGGAATGTAAATTTTGTCGGGCGGAAGGTCAGGAGCTAAAGAGGCCTAATATGCATGTAAATCTCGTGCAGATGTCTTTGTGTTTGACGTCAGTGGGCGGGGACTATTGAAATTGACATGTGAGGCCTCGTGTAATTTAAATCTATTAGTCTACATTTTAAAAATCTAAATTTACAATTTTATCTCACGATGAAATGAAAATATAAGGAATCACTGTCTAGTTAGCAGAGTATGCCAGGGACATCAACGATAGCTGGAAACGTGGGATAATTTATGCATAATAGGCTTTGCCCATTATGCAAATTATCCCACGTTTCCAACTATCGTTGATGCCCCGGCATACTCTACTAACTAGACAGTGATTCCTTAATATTTCCATTTCTATTTGTTTTCTCTGTGATAACTCTTTGAAAGTTAGGAGAGTTGATTTCTTGATCATTCTAACGGAATGCAAATTTTGCCAAGTGAAAGGTCAGTAGCTAAGAAGGCATAATATGCATGTAATTCTCGTGCGGCTGTCTTTTGAGTCTGACTCTAAGGAAGCCTAATATGCATGTAATTCTTGTGTGACTGTCTTTGTGTTTGAAGTCAGTGGGCGGGGACTATTGAAATTCACATGTGAGCCATCGTGTAATTTAAATCTATTAGTCTACATTTTTAAAATCTAAATCACTGTCTAGTTAGTAGAGTATGCCAGGGACATCAACGATAGTTGGAAACGTGGGATAATTTATGCATAACGGGCTTCGCCCGTTATGCAAATTATCCCACGTTTCCAACTATCGTTGATGCCCTGGCATACTCTACTAACTAGACAGTGATTCCTTAAATAAAACCTTTAAAAAGTCAGAACTTACAAAATTATCTGAAATTACCAGGTGCACAAGTTCTAATGGTGTATATTAATTCTACAAAGTTTTTAAAAAAAATATTAAGTAGTTTCAAAGATATCTTTGGAAAAAAATAAATGTTTACAGACAGACACACAGATTCCAGTATATCCCTTAAACATCATTTGTGTGGTGGGTATAATAATAATTCTACATAAATAGAACTACATTTGCTCTTATGTTACAACCAGTGATTTGTTTCACTAGGAATTCATATCTGAAGGACCAAGATTTATTTTACTAACTACCAACTGGCATATATTTGATCTGTTTTCTCTTGATCTACTGGGTCCATTTGATGGTGATGACAAAACTGATGAAATTAAGCCAGCTTCATCAATAAAACATATGTCAGAGAGGGTTTGTCGACATTTAGTAAATAATATTTAATGGTGGAATCTGATGACACTGGGACAAGGTGACAAGAGACACATTGTGGTATCCATTATCCTGAAAATCGTAGAAACTGTTCAAACAATGACCGATTCCATTCTCTCCTGGCTTACAAATCCCTCCATTTTTTTCAGTTTTAAACCAACTTCAGTATAAATTGCCATGGAAACCCAATCTACATGCTTCTGGTCTTGTCAGAATTGTGTAACCCAATACAGATATTAAAATTTTCTGTTGGATATTGACACCAATTCAGCGATAAGAAAATGTATTATAGATATTGAAATAAATGTGGCGAAAACAATTGTCAGCTCGATTCTGAATAATGTATTAGAAATAACTGAGTTGAAAATAATGAAACAATTTTCCTCCCACTAAAAGGAGGCCTGGGACCAGCTAATCTTGTCAGACACAGTTTTTCCTCCCCTAGGACCAACTAAGCTTGTCTGTCACAGTACAATGTAGTTTTCCTCCCCTAGGACCACCTAAGTTTGTCTGACATAGTACAATGTTGTTTTCCTCCCCTAGGACCAACTAAGTTTGTCTGACATAGTACAATGTTGTTTTCCTCCCCTAGGACCAACTAAGTTTTTCTGACATAGTACAATGTTGTTTTCCTCCCATAAGACCAGCTAAGTTTGTCTGACACAGTACAGTGTTGTTTTCTTCCCCTGGGACCAACTAAGCTTAAATAACTTAAGTACAATGTTGTTTTCCTCCCCTAGGACCAGCTAAGCTTGTCTGACCCAGTACAATGTTGTTTTCCTCCCCTGGGACTAAGTTTGTCTGACAAAGAATAATGTTGTTTTTCTTCATCTCAGAGTGAAGATTCTAAAATGGGGCTAACAAACAACATACAATAAATCATTTTTCAAAATGATCTTCACTCAGTACAAGTTTTACAACACTATACCTACAGGGTGCAAGAATTTTCATAAATTCATTCACTTGTGATTCTTTATAAAAATGTCAAAACCCTTTTCATTTCATAATTGTTAATTTCATGAAAAATTTAAGAAGAGACTAATGTAGCATACCTTTTACATTTTCCAGGTAAAAGTCTTTATGAAGATCCACAGAGTTTTATTATATTGAATGATTCCCCTCTATCCTATAGTCTTCAGAACTTTGTAGTATGTGTACTTTTATCTCAGTGCTTGTTACTAATATCAAACACAGGACATTTTGTGTTCATTGTAACAGACTTTTATCTAACGACCCCCCGGAGGTGAGCGACTAATTAGGAAACAGTACAGGTTCAGAAATTAACAGTTTGACAACATGAAGGGTAATATATCAGAAATGTTTACAAATCCAATCAGCTAACAAACTACAAACAGGTATTTCCACCTGGAAACTTACAAAACAAATATCTGAATGGTTTAACAGGTAGGTTTTGATTTAGGGGCAGGAAACTTGTAGTCATGTATTGTAAATAATCACTGTGTCTCTTTTAAGTGACCTTTTCATCACCTACTTGTAAGTCTGAAAACATCAAAGGATATTCTTATGAAAATTAAATGTTTCTGAGTTTTAAATTCAAAAGATTTTATAAAAAGCAATATTTTTGACAGAGAATTTTGTTTGTAAATGAAGCAGAAAGTTAATCCACGACTGGAACCCATAGAAATTTTCAAAATTTCAAATCTGAGGTTCATGACTCCGGTTTATACTACAGGGGTTTGTATATCTACATATCAGACACCTGCTTGTAAGATGAAAGAAGTTTTTCCCCTCTCAATCTTATGTTCAATACAGAGTTATTGACTGTATTAATTGTTTAACATTCCCCTATTTAACTGTTCTTATGCCCCTGTGTGATTCCTGAACCCTCTAACGCAACCAGCAAGCACCAGCTGCCCTGAATAAAGTTGTTCTTATTGAAGTCCCACAAATACTAGGCCTATTTGTACATCTATTTGCTTTTAAATATTTTATTTTCCTTGAGAGCTAGTGCATTTTTAAAAATAATCAACGAGATAATTAAGATGAAGAACACAGAAAACTGACAAGAACTTAGGCTCTCTACAGATTTTAGAATTTTCTGTTAGAACGCAATGTATATCCTTGAATTATTATAAACCACAGCCAGAGGATAAGAATAGTGTAATTCATTAAGTTTTTACTTTGGATCAATCAGGTAGCTGAGCAATATTTCACACCACTGAATTCTTCACAAACCAACGGAAATAAAAACACACTATTTATATCATTTGATAACATTTGTAGCATTTCACAAACATTCAATTTCTTATTGATGGGACATCTATTCAAATTCAATTGGGTGACATGTCATTAAATTAATATACTAGTACAATAAAGCATCATATTTGAGAAATTGATAAAATTCAAAGTCTTTAATACATATATTACTTTTGAGGATGGCTATTTGTAACCGGTTAATAAATTACTTGGCAAGAATGACAGTAACCGGTTGATAAATATGTAATTGGTTAATTGGGAAAAAATAAAATGGCTGTGTAAATTTGGATGCAATTTCCTTAACATACATTTAAAAAAAACCTCAGAACATTGATAAGTTAGAGTTTTCACATATTTATTTAAGCTGATTTGGAGGCCATTAATCGAGATCGAGATCAAGGGGTAAATTGGTCATTTTGTGAAGTGTTAATTTAAGAGATGAATTTAATTTTTGAGAATTCATGAGGACATCATAGTATGATGCTTTACATCGTAAGCGCTTCGTGATAAATATGCAGGCAGTATGCATTGTAGTTCATGTACCTCATGTCAATTCTCAAAAATTAAATTCACCTCTTATATTTACATTATTTTTCTGATGACTTGCAACATATTTTTGTCATTCAGCAACCATTTTTGAAAAAAAAGTTTGCAGTATTTTTTGACTTCAATCACATCACAATGGAAATATTCTTACTCATCCCACAGTAGTTCATGAGAACGTGAACTTTTTCTAATTTGGAAAGAATCTTAAGGAAAAATATTTGGAAATGTAAATACATGTATTACTTTATAGAACACCATGTGGTTACCCAGCCTGTACAGTATGTCTTTAATGATGTTAATTTAATCACTGCTGATTACTGTGATCAAGCAGAAACAGAATAATACCAACGGCATTTTTTTTTTTGGTATTGTTACTTAAAAAGATATGCCAAGAAAATGTGTATTTTGATACGATTAACTGCTTAATCAGTCAGAACATCTTGCGATTAACTGATCGACATTTCTGTATTCAATTGCAATCCCTAATTATTTCATTAAGAAATTTATTTGTTCAAATTTAACATTGATTTTACAGTTTCAAAGAAGCCATTCTTTGTAAATCATTTATATTCTACAATTCTTTACTCACCATTAACATTATTTACAACAGTCACTGCTTCTTATATCAATTAATTGAATCGTAGTTAAATTCTGGTTTTAATACAACAACAGTATACGTACCAACATCCTAGTTAACAGAGTTAATAACCCATTAACATTGTCAACTAATTACATCCCGGTTTAAGTCACCAATTAAAACTGTCAACAAGATTACTACATCTCAGTACATGCTGAATGATAGGTTAATGTTTATTTCTTACCCTGTCACAAACAATAAACAGGTAACAAACTCACCTGTACAGCCACCTCTGTGATACTGGGCCTCCCACCGACTACAGCTTTATAATCGCTGAGACTCCAGGTCTCTGAAAGTCTCCAATATCCCTCATCATCATCAACTCTTTAAGGCCGACTCCAGCAATAACAAACAAAGCAGATCAGATCTTTGAAGTGCTGGATATTATTTCTTCAATCAGGGCACAGGAGAAATACCCCGTCTTAGTAAAATCAATTGATAACTGTAGGAGAGCCTGAGGGAGAGAGATAAAAGGGTCCTCACTCTAATTCTACGTCAAGAGAAGGGGAGAGGAACAAGGGTGCTTAGTTCTCTGTCAAGATAACAGGTGGATTCAGGAACAGGGGTGCTTAATTCTCTGTCAAGACAAGGGATGGAGAGAAACAAGGGTGCTTAAACCTCTGTCAAGATAAGGAGTGGAGAGGAATATGGGTGCTTACTGGTAATTTTCTGTCAAGATAAGGGGTGGAGTCAGGATCAAGGGTGCTTAATTCTCTATCAAGATAAGGGGTGGAGAGGAATATGGGTGCTTAATTCTCTGTCAAGGTAAGGGGTGGAGAGGAACAGGGGTGCATAACTCTCTGTCATGATAAGGGGTGGAGTCAGGATCAAGGGTGCTTAATTCTCTGTCAAAATAAAGGGTGGAGAGAAACAAGGGTACTCAAGGCCCCATGTTGAGCTGTTGTATAATGGCCAGAAACTGGTGTTGTTATTGATAAAAACATCACTCCAACAAGGGGAGAAAAATGGTAACTTTATGTTAATATTCCTTAGTAATGTGATGAAAGCTATTTCATATTTTGATTGATGAATGATTAGAAGTTTGAGACATTACTATGACAAGTCATGAAAGTTTCTGGCACCTTTTACAATCAATGTATGATACAATATTACAGGGTTAAAGATTGATGTATTTACATGTAGACCTACAGTTTACTGTTACATGCCGATACCTTAAGTTCAGGAAATTAAATTTATCATAAAACATAATAGTCTTTAAGATTACATAATGTAGTGTACCTGTTACAGGTAATTACCTGAGTTCAGAAAAAAAAAATCCTACAACATTCAAACATAGCATGTCAAACACAGCAAGTCAAACACAGCACTGCAGCATTCTGTGACATGTAAATGTAAGTGAAACACTGGCATTAATTAAGCATTTGACAATCAGAGTGCAGCTATGTTTTACTTAAAATAAACCTGACAAAAGAATCTTAAAAACCACTGACCAGGTGGAGTAAGCCCAAAAAGACTGCTAGTTTGTACAGGTGTGGAGAACCCAAGCAGTCTTCTAGTTTGTACAGGTGTAGTGAACCCAAGGAGACTGCTAGTTTGTACAGGTGTGATGAACCCATGGAGACTGCTAGTTTGTACAGGTGTAGTGAACTCAAGGAGACTGCTAGTTTGTACAGGTGTGATGAACCCATGGACACTGCTAGTTTGTACAGGTGTAGTGAACCCAAGTAGACTGCTAGTTTGTACAGGTGTGGTGAACCCAAGGAGACTGCTAGTTTGTACAGGTGTGGTGAACCCAAGGAGACTGCTAGTTTGTACAGGTGTAGTGAACCCAAGGAGACTGCTAGTTTGTACAGGTGTGATGAACCCATGGAGACTGCTAGTTTGTACAGGTGTGATGAACCCATGGAGACTGCTAGTTTGTACAGGTGTGGTGGACCCAAGGAGACTGCTAGTTTGTACAGGTGTAGTGAACCCAAGTAGACTGCTAGTTTGTACAGGTGTGGTGCACCCAAGTAGACTGCTAGTTTATACAGGTGTAGTGAACCCAAGTAGACTGCTAGTTTGTACAGGTGTGGCGCACCCAAGTAGACTGCTGGTTTGTACAGGTGTGATGAACCCTTGTCGACTGCTAGTTTGCACAGGTGTGATGAACCCAAATAGACTGCTAGTTTGTACAAGATCCTGATTTCTCTTTTCCTGTACTTTTTGTGTAATTTATCTGTAAATATAATAAATTAATATATTACACATGTGACATGTAATTAAGTAAACATAATAAATTAATATAATACACTTGTAATTAAGTCATAAAATATTATTTGGTTAACTATCCAGTGTATCTTCTTGGCCTTTTTCCATGGAACTGCAAACTTCTCAACATGCTCTATAAATCTGTTGATTTAAATTGAGTTTTAACAGAGCTCAACTAAAATATACACTTGTCCATTGGACAAGTTACCAATGTCACTTGTCCAAATTAATTTTTTTTACTTGTCCGACTCTGAACAGATATAAATATATAAATTTATAGAACTTTATTTTCAAGAACAATAGTATTGACCTTTAATGATTTGTTTAATCAAGAAAAAAAATCATCAACAAAAAATAATAAATATTGCCTAAAACCTAGTTTTGATGGCTCTCATCCATAACAATATCCAGCGAGGTGTGATTGAGCCCGTAAGATTTTAACGTTTGCAATTCTTTAAAAAATCAGTTTTTTTAATGGATTCTGTAGGGATTTTTTTTTTAATATTCACAATTCAGTAAAAAAAAAAAAGGTAACTGGTTATATCAGACAGATTTGTATGAGACTCACTTGTCTGATCACAAACTGGACACACACAATCAGACAAATGTTGAGTCATGTATAAATATTACAGAGGATCTCTTTTAAATTGACATCAAAACAGATCAAAACCAAAATCTTCCAAAAGTCAAGTTAGGGATTAAATAAATTTGGTTACACCATACTGCAGAATAAGAAATTATGTTATTCACTGTAAAAGGGTCAATAAATACCGTATAAGGGCCTTCAAATACTTTTGTTATTAAGTCAATCATAAACTATCATGTCTTATAATATAGGTAACCTATGAATGAAACAAAATATACCTTGTCACCATGTGTTCCTTATCAACATGACCTTAATATTTCTATATTGTGTTAATAATTGATTTAAAGCTTCAGATAGATAATATTAGTAATTAAGTTTACATATAGTCACACCTTGTTATCTTGAACTCAATGGAACCAAGAGAAAAAAAAACTTCTCAACAGGGATTTGAGATATTAATGGTCAAATACTTAAAAGAACAGGTGCTTGGGACTTCCAAATCGCTTGGACATACCCATGGTATTGGATATACCCAAATTTAGCTGTATTATGTTTTCCCTAATAACACACTCGTTTTCTGTCAAACATACCAAATTCTTTGTTTTAGGCTTTAGTTGTAGACTTGGTCCTGTAATTAAACTGTTTGTCAATAGGTTGCTGATGTTAGTCCCCCTCAAAATGTCTAATTATATACATTGCAAAAATATATTTTTTCCCCAGAAATCAAAGCAATTTAATCAATGCATGTAATTATCTTCTATCTCAATAAGACACTGTACTGCACAATGGATTATCTCTTCACTTTTATCTCTTTTTTGGGTAGAATTTCAGTTTTCAATAAAAATCATGAAAACTATTAATAAGTTGAAAATTCTTGAAACAAATCTTCGGTATATCAAAATGAATAAAGGACAATATTGCAAAAATATTTATCTCATATTTTACCACAAATAATCCTATATTTTGTCCTGACCTAACAAGATTGTATCTGGATTTTGATTTTTATTAGTCAGAGACCATGATGCTTTTTTTAACTATGAAGACCCATTATACCAAGTAGTGGCAATCAATTTCATTCTTCGCAGCACTTAACCTCTGTCATATGAAGCAGCCATTAGAGATAATCGTCCAGTGACCGTCCAGCAGTCCACACCGTTATATATTGACCACCGCGTCTTTATTAATGCTCCATCATTACATGTTTCCTAATATCAACAACAAGGTAAATATTGTTTTGATCAGCACGCGATCATCACAATGCAATACCAGTCTGCCCCGAGGGAGCAAACGGGAAGGAATATTTGTGTTTTTAATTTACAATCTAATAAAGGAAAGAATTACCAGGACACACTTAAAATGGGAGGGAATGCTTTCAATAAAACAATAATACGGTGATTTTTGTTTTCTAGAAATGATGTTTTGTATTGATCTTGGCTGTGGTGTTTACGATTTGTGTCCTCTTAATTCAATATTAGTTGAAGGCCTGATAAATCTGCCTGTCATTGGGTTGATAGTCTTGGTCCAGAATGTCGCTGAATCTATTTATAGCACACAATTTGTACCGTTATCCGTGGTTCATTAAAACGTCACGATATTGACAGCATCTTTCCATCTTGGAATCAACATCACCTTTTTCATGCACATTAAGTCAAACTTTTAAATATCACATCCCCAAGTTTATCCAATCAATTTTAATCTTTTTTTTCTAATGGTCATGTCAAAAAAATTTGAAAAGTCATAAAATTTCTAAACTGTAGTAAAACAATCCTTAAAATTCCAAATAAATCTCCTCATCAAACAAACTATTCAAAATAGAGAAATTTTTGTCCAGTATAACCTACAGTGATGTTCTTTAATGCAGCCATTACTCTGGAAGTCCGTCATCCAATACAGATAAAATGTCCCCAGAACTCCTACTGGCTCACCATGAAAGGAGAGACTGATATTGGATAATCTGAAAATGAAACTAAAAAGACTTAACTAATGACGTAACTAATAATTAAGTGTACAACTTCCTCAAACTCTGTAGAGTTTTTGTTCAAGTCAGCTAAATTGAGTAAAACTTTACAAGATTTATAGCTACAGTCTCAGCCTGATTTACCTACATAGCTTTATTTAACTACTCAAAATAGCTAAATTATTTAGTTAAAGTCTGTACCAAATCATACTTTTTTCTTAAGGATAAATAACACAAATTTTTTTTCTTCCAAAACTCAGATATACAGATAGGTGCCTGTTTTACTAAATAAGTGATAACTGTTTAGTTTTACGACTTCATGTTTGACCAAGCCACATAATTTGGTGAGAACATCACAATTGTGGGAGATAAGAGCTACGTTCACTTTATCCATAAAATGGTCTTTTTCAAACATCAGTATAAAGTAGAGTTAGTGCTTTCATTTCCTATAAAAAAGTTTCTCTGATAGTCCAGGTATAGAATAACAGCTGGGCTTTGTGAAATAGCAGTGTTCTTGAATTTTAAAGAAAATGGGTTTATTTGAATACCATCAGCAAAGAATTAAAATGTGAGCCCACCCGTCAATCCAAATTATAAAACATGGATAATAATCTTATGAAACAGTTCTTCCATTATATAATTGAATATTTTTAATCAAGAGGTTGGGGACTATGCAATATATTGAAAAACAGATTTATTTTTTTGCCATTTTAAAAGAAATTTTCAAGATTTTAGGATAGCATGTAAAAAAAAAAAAGCACATTGGTGCAGTGCTTACAAGTTTTCAACTTTGAACTTATCTGAAAACTTCGCTTTCCACGATGTGTCTCCTGATTCTAAAAGTTTTGGTCTGTATGTGACCAAGTAGTTACTTCTTGAATGAAATATCCCAAAAGCAGCAACGTTTATCGATAAACTATATTTGCTCTGAGTTGTGCCCTGTTAATTTAGTCCATGGTATATTAATTAATAGTCGCATCGCATACTGTTGTCTTTTTAAATAAAAATCAAACTTGTAAAAAATTGCATTAAAACTGACATTACATTGAACTGTTCAATAGCATGCATACAGGGACCTATATATAATTATCGTTTTTTTAAAGGGGGTCAGCCAGATACAAAAAAGGGACAATTTACTTGAAAAAACTTTGGCACCCCCCCCCCCCCCAACTCCAAAATCCTATTTGGGGTGGGAGTGGGTTTAGTTTTAGGTTCCAACCTTTTTCTTCACAACCAAATTTCATTGCCTCATTACGAAATTACCATGTTAAAAAAAGGGGGGATGCAGCCATTTAACAAACATTTTCAACAGTAAAGAGTTATGTTTGGAAAAAATGAGGGTGGTGGTACAGGCCCCCTGATAACGTGCATGAAGTAAAATCTGTTTTACCAGTATTTTATTCTATACTTTTACCTCATATGATAAGTTTCTCTAACAAAAACAATATGATAAAACCTAGATCCCGAAAATTCTTGCAATTTAGTTTCTGCATCTGAGGCCTGAAACTCCTAAAAAAAAAAGGGGGGGGGGGCTACTCCCTTATAATTATTTTTTGAAGTTTGTTGAATTTCAACCAGTGAAAACATTTGGAAGCCTGTATGTGTACATAAATTGACATATTCAAAATTTAGCAATGTACTATTGTATTAATTAATGATTTATTAACGGTATTCATGAATTACTGCGATGTTGTTCGCGCCAAAGCCGCTAAAATACACTGCATGAAGCCCGTTTTTTGAGCACACATACAGTATACTACATGGCGCTCAGTGAAATAACAGGCCCGTAAAACGCGGGGGGGGGGGGGGGGAGGAGGCAGGGAGCAGGTCTCACTTTTTTTTTCTGAGTACAGATTTTGCAATAGTAAAGTTTCCTTTAGATGCTGGTCCCCCCCCCCCCCCCCACTTTTTGATGTTGAAAGGTCGAACACAGGCAAATTTCAGGATTCGGACAGTAAATTAGATTTTTTTATGCTTGTCACATAATTTTAGGAAGTAGTCCCCCCCTCCCCCCCCCCCACTTTTGGTCAGTTGTTTTTTTTGCTTGTCAGATTTTTTTTGGGAAGTTGCCCCCCCCCCCTTTGAAACCGTTGCTACGGGCCTGAATAACATTTTCGAACCAAATCACAACAGTCCAGTTCATCCAAGTGTTAAATTGTTGACTTTGGTTTTAATTTTTTTTCTTTTTGTAATTGTTCAAGTTTAATTAACATATTCATTTCTTTAAAAAATGCTGCGTTTTGCTGCAGTAACAATGTGTAAATAATGTGGTAATTCTGGATCGAAATGGCAATATTTTTGTCCTTTGTGAAAAACTATCACTCTGCTGTTCAGCCGCCTTTAGAAATCGGGGAATCATTAATTTTCCATTATAACCAATGACACATCATAATACCCATTCTGTATAATTACAGTATAATGTGAAGATAACAGACAGTGATCAATCTCTTAAATCCAGTAGCAAAATAAATCGTAAACAGGACAAAAACACGGACCCCGGAAACACCAGAAGACAAATGGAATCAGGAGCCTTGCAGGTAAAAACATCCCTTGTTGAGCAGAAATACTCCGTAGTCAAATTTAGTATTATAAAGGCAATTACCTAATAAATGGTATCAACATGCAGGCAAACATCAAAAACGACCAAAGCTAGGTTGTATTTCAATACAAGGTTATTATAACGACCGTAGAATTTGCAAAAAGCTGACTTTGAAATCCTTGTACCATCAACTTACTTCTCAGAACTTGCCTCACTTTAAAAATTGATCATACTATCAGTTTTTTATCCCAATGAATTCTGTTACTTCTATTAACATTCTAATTGTCAAACCTCATATTGCAAATGATTGACACTAATGTCATAAATACCATGTAACTGACACTCATGTCACAAATACTAAAACTCATGTCACAAATGACTAATACTCATGTCACAATTGACTAATACTCAGGTCACAAATGACCAACACTCATGTCACAAATGACCAATACTCATGTCACAAATGACCAATACTCATGTCATAAATGACTAATACTCACAAATGACCAACACTCATGTCACAAATAACTAATACTCATGTCAAAAATGACTGATACTCATGTCACAAATGACCAATACTCATGTCATAAATGACTAATACTCATGTCACAAATGACTAATACTCATGTAAGAAATGACCAACACTCATGTCACAAATGACTACACTTATATCACAAATGACCAAAATTCATGTCACAAATGACCAATACTCATGTCCCAAAAGACTAATACTCATGTCCCAAATGACCAATACTCATGTCCCAAATGACCAATACTCATGTCACAAATGACCAACATAAGTGTCACAAATAACCCATTATTCCTGTCACAAATGATTGACACTCATGTCATAAATGAACAACACTCATGTTGCTAACTACCAAAAACTAATGTCTGAACCTTATATCACAAATGATTGATACTCATGTCACAAATGACCGATACTTGTGTCACAAATGACCAACACTTTCCACCAAACCCCTTTCTTTATTTCTCAGAAAAATATTAACAGCAGTGAAAAAGAAACTTCAGGAGTACTGATACACATGTCACAAATGACCATAATTTATCTTATAATGACCAACATTCATGTTGGACAATCGTGTCACAAGTGACCTATACTCATGTCATAAATGTCCAACAATCATGTCAGGATTAACAAGACCAGCTATCATGGATTTCTCCAGCCACCATCCTTCAACCACTAGTGCATTTGTCCGCAAATGAAGCAAATTGAAGCATGTCCCAATTTTGGTTGTAACACGTCGTTCGATTGGATAAAAAAATTAGTTTATATCATATATCCTGTGTTGCCTATGTCACAATGACTTACGTAAAAAATGTATCAATCCGCTTAACGTTACATTTAAAAGATGTACAATTTGAAGGCATTATTGATGGAGATATTGTCTTATTTTCTAACCTTAATGATGGAAAATTAAATTCTAAGGAAAGAATTTAATAGCTACCCAAGTTACACTTGTGTAACCTGGGTTGGAAAAGTTTACGCTTTTTTATAAACCGCTTTATGGTTTATAAAGCATAAACTGTCCCAACCCAGCTTATACATTATAACTTGGGTAGCTATTAAATTCATTCCTTAAATAGTACAGACCCAATCTGCCATATCCTATTGTTTTTCTTCTCCCCATTGACCTCTTCATCATATACATAAAAACTCAACAAAATGGACTTACTTTTTTATACTTGGGTAAATTATCTAATATAAATTCAAAAGTGTCATAAAATGCATAAAGAGAAATATCAGGTTAGAATTAGAAAGAAAAATCAAATATTCACAATTCAGATCTACAGGTAGATTGAATCCTTAAGAGGGTAAAAATCTGTAAATAATTATTTCACATCTTTCAGTGTTTTATCTCTGTTTTTCAAAATACAGTACAGATAAAAGAATAAAGTACATTCAATGGTATACACTTACAATAATGCATTACTGATATGCCATGTATCTTCACTACCTTAAAAGTATAGCAGAAACTAAGTATACTGCCCAAAGACTGAAATCTGTCTATGTGCAAAAGACTTGAAATTCAGGTGAACTACAATCAAATAAATAGTATCTTAAATAACGAGCTTAAATTCATGTTTCCATAGTAACCTTTTGGAAACATAAAATATGATATATAATTTTCTACAGGAATACTTTTCTAAAAGAAGTAAAACAAATCAAAAAAGTATTTTTAAAAATTAAATAAATATATACATTAAGTTAAATGGATAACTGAAAAATATATATAAGTGTAGAAAACTTTCTCATTTTAAGAAAATTTAACCACATTACAATGGTACAAAACAGCAGTCAATATTACACAAAGGCTTGTGTTGTAATCATCAGACTCTACCAGAAGCAGAGCTGCCATCATGTCCATATACATCTAATAATGAGAATTTCTTCGAGTACCAGAAAATTTAGTCATTACGATATACATATTTATAAAAAAACAATATGTACTTTAATGTGCCAATGAAAAAATATATATTTATATATAAACAATAAACTTAGAAAGAACAAAAATTCAGTCAGCTTGTAGCAGATAATGTGTATAGCTGCATAGTTATATATGCTATTTAACCACCCCCTTCCCTAACAAAGAATATAACATTACTTGTAAATCTATTGTTTACACAAGGGGAATAACATCAACACTACTAGTCTATAGTATTTCATAAAATACTGTATCCACAATTGAAGCATGTATTAAAATAAAGTATGGGATTTTCACACATTCCCCCCAAAAACCAATTAGCAAATATGGCACACATTGCATGCACTTTATTCAGATTAAAGGGGGACAATTCAGTCTAACATTCATTCCATATAACCTGAACACTACTACTTCCATATTCACAATTGCATTGAAAGACTATATTTGCACTCGTGTCCAGAATGAGACAAACGTTGATGTGACTGAGATCTAATTTCTACTTTGTAGCACCTTCCGTAAAATCGCGTTTACAACATCTAACGTCTCGTCCTCTAGAATCACGATATCATATCTCTTCATGTACAACTCCAAACTTTCTTCAACCTGTCCATGTTACACAAAAAAAGAAAAAAAATATAGTTTTATGTAATTCTTCTATAAAATCAACATGCTTCAATGGACTGCATTCCCCCCCTTTTCCCACCACCACCAAAAATAATTTGAAAAGTGTGAAAATTTTATTAAAGTATTTTGTAAATTTTAAAATCCTTTCATAAAGTGCTGATCTGCTGTTTATTTTCAATTTGTATAAAACATTTATTAAAATTGTAACTTTTTTACTTGCTGTTTCACATTTTAAATACCCCTTGAAAAACCTACCTTTACATTTAGAAATCCTATTGTGAGTTTATTATTAACCCCCACAGCCCCGTCAGCCATGTGGAGATCCCCGATAGAATCCCCAATCAGGATGACGTTATTACGATGTTCTAAATTCTGAAAATAATCGGAATCATGTATCGCCCCTTCGTTTTTGTTGTACACATGAATAAGGTCATCTTGGAATCCTGTCATTTGGCCCTGAAATAAAAGTAATAGGACTCATAGTATGAACATAGTATACTCCCAATGCTCCTCTAATAAGAAATCTTATCTTTTAGAATTTGGATTTTCTGTGATCAAGCCTCAGACAATGTATGAATTTCTAAAGTTACTCTATTATAAGATTGTGGAGAATCTTACTCTTCAAAGCCAATGTCCTTGACCAAATTACCTGACCTTGTTGCAGGTTTGTTACACACACCCAATGGTCTCATGTAACCTTTCTTCATAACATAATTTTCTAATGTTTCTCTGCTTAAAAAGACTTAGGCATAAACAAAGCACCATCACATCGTAAAAATGCAACAGTTAACCTACATGTGCATTCATAAGATGTTTTGGTTATTTGTTTATGTCTTTTAATAAGTTCACAACTTTAGATCCAGACTCTACTGAATACTGCGAGGTATCCATTCATGAGAATCTTCCACTTAAACCTTAAAAGGAGTTGGTTTCCAGTTTTATCTTTGCTTTTGTATAATTTCCAGAGATTAAAAAAATTCCCAATTAAATAATCTTGTGGAATCTAACAGTATGACTTCATTCACAATTAAAGCATCAGTTCCTAAAATTTGATGCACTTTACTTGCTACTGACCTGAGCATCATATTCCAGATAATTAGAGACGACCTTCATGTTGTCATGGAGAGTTGCTTGGTGTTTGATGACCTCAATGATGACATCACCGATTCCCGCAGAAAAGATCAGAAGAGGGATTTCGTTACAATGTAACTGGTCAAAGAACCATGTACAACCATCCCTGATTGAAAGAAAAATGTGACCTGAATTTTCTACCATTTGTCTGAGTTTAAGTTAAATTAACTTGGCTGTATATTTTCTACCATTTGTCCATTATTAAACCTTTTCCTGGCAGTTGAATTATCTAGCATATGTATGCTGTATATACATGTATTACCTTAGCCTGGCAGTTGAATTTTCTAACATTTCTATGCTGTATGTATTACCTTAGCCTGGCGGTTGAGTTTTCTAACATTTCTATGCTTTATGTATTACCTTAGCCTGGCAGTTGAGTTTTCTAACATTTCTATGCTGTGTGTATTACCTTAGCCTGGCGGTTGCGTTTTCTAACATTTCTATGCTGTATGTATTACCTTAGCCTGGCAGTTGAGTTTTCTAACATTTCTATGCTGTATGTATTACCTTAGCCTGGCGGTTGAGTTTTTTCTAACATTTCTATGCTGTATGTATTACCTTAGACTGGCAGTTGAATTTTTTGACACTACTATGCTGTATATATTACCTTAGCCTGGCAGTTGAATTTTCTACCATTTGTATGCTGTATACATTACCTTAGCTTGGCGGTTGAATTTTCTACCATTTGTCTGACATCATCTTTATTTATGTTACACTTTGACAACAAATCATGGGCTTTTGTCCACCTGTAGATTGACAAATACAAAATAATTTCATTTTTTAGCAACAGCAGTATTACCAGGTACACAATACACTGTTAAGAAAGGTCTGTAAATATCTTAGAAGTCACATCTTTATACAATGTCTCAAACAATACCCACCATTCGACCATTATAGGAATTTTTTCTTCTACTGTCAGTTGTGGGTTGGTCTCGATTGGAAAATAGTAATCCCTTAGTGCCCTAGCCTACAAAAAGAATCAGAAAACTAGTGAGCAGCCAGTGATGAACATGAAAAGACACACAGATAGAAATCCTTTAGTGACCTAGTTCTCATATAAAACACCACACTGTGAAACATGGACAAAGTTGATGACTAACATACAATGTAAAGTTGTCAGTAACTCTACTCATCAAATTTAGCATCATCATTATAGAGTAAAATACTCACTGCTAAACTGTCAAGGTTTCCACTTGTTTAATAACTGAGAAGGCCATACTATATTGTCTAGGAGTAATTTATACTTAGGATACACATACTGACCTCTTCTTTGTAGAAATCTGGCAAAACATGTCCTTCTTCTAGAACATCTGAAAATTCAATAAAATATCATCAGTGTAAATCAAACATTTACACATCTACATCTTTAAAGTAATCTATCAATTTATTCTATTCCCCTTTCTAATGAATACATAAAAAAATACACTGAGTAATAACAATTATTTTAAAAGTACCCAGTACATGTATCCAAATATTTAGTATGGTTACAACTGAATCATACTGAACATTTTTACCCTTAGGATAAAATATTTATAAAACTAAAATGAATACACACTGTAATAAGTAATCTACAATCTTTCAGCACTAATAATAAATTCAAAACAGTATACAATCTCATTAGTGTCATATAGTAATTTGAAAACTTTGAGATATGAACATGCATTAATCTTATTTTCTAATCAAAATCAATTCTTTAATCATGTGACTAATCAATGGTGACCCCTTGTTAAGCCATCTCAAGTTGGTTTTTTGAGATGGGGCATTATTGTGAATGGAGAAATTTTAAAATTTTATACCCAATCCATGATTAATCAATGATTCTGCTGTCTTCATTAAAATATTTCTAATAAAATTAATAATACAAGCTATATCCTAATTTTGATGTTTCTAGTGAAAATAACTTGTTTGAGAGTTAGTGCAAAACCATACACCATGCACAACTTGAGAAACATGACTGTAACTCTATCTGCAAACTTTGCTGATTATCACTTTAACATGGTAACTGAGTGGAAAGAACTAAAAATCTATCAAATTAATAAAAATCATCATATTGAATTAAAAAAAGAACTGTTTTGTCAGAAGTGTATGTATATAGCCTAGCAGTTAGTTAAATCACACATGTGAGTGAACTTTGTTTTTAATGATAGGAATTGGGAAGTGATGATTTTATAATTAAATATCTGAAGAATAAACTGTTTCTTCATGCAAGTATTAGCTTCAACATGGTCAAACAGTCCAGATTTTCACATAGTAAATTTTACTTCCAACAAAATATTTCAAGTAAGATATTATTGACCTGTGTATTTCAAGGATAGACCCTAAACACTAGACTATCTTAGTACATGGAGGTTGAACATTTGATACAATCATGCTAAATTTCAGTTGCTGAATTTGAGTTACTTTAAAATTTATTTCATAAATACATGCATGATCTATGTTAATACTAATAAGTGTTTTAATCATGTTAATGTTGTGAAAACCTATTGTTATCACTAAAACATGTACAAATTCTTGTAAAACTTAGACATAACTTACTGGTATAAGCTTTTTTATCTATGTTTGAATGTATGATGAAATGCATGAATAGAATAATTGTAAAACAATTTGAGTTTAAAGTGCTTTCTTAATCTTACAGGTGCCTACTTATTGCTTAGTGCTTGACCTTCAGATTCACAAGTTAACTTACTCTTAACTCCTATTAGAGAGAGACTTAAGCAATAACTTTATACTGGACTTAGGACAAATAATACACAAAACTATTTATTTATTTCCTTATTCATCTAATATTTGTGTTGGTTATTGACTTTTAAAATAACGTTATTGCTAGATACTGCTTACGAGTTCAACTTTACAAAAAACAGTGGAATGGTATATACAGCTATTGTTGATATTGGATTAATAAATCAGTATGCACACGGACGCAAGACAGGAGGCCGGGAATTAGCTAAGATGATTATGGTTTGTTGAATTATTTAATGAATTTAATGAAAAACAGGTAAAAAATTTGAGGGATTTCTCGATTTCAAACTTTCAATTCATTACAAAGAATCACTCTAACATCACAGTCAGACCTAATTTATACATTTTCCCCCCAGTCAGTAGAAGACTACAGTGGGAGGAGAATGTTTGTATAAATCACATCACCCTGTGACACATACTATGACATGTGGAGCAGACTTGGCCTCGGTGTGTGTATTTGGAGAGAGTTCTATCAAAGTCAGCTACCACCTGAAATTAAGGAAAATACATGATACTGAACATAAACAACATGAAAACTAATAAAACTAGTAAGGTGCCCTATATGACAATACTGTAGGTCTGTGATACTCTGTGTAGAACAGTTCATCAAGCTTCAGAACAAACTTAATTGACATGATATGCATATATCATATGTTTGATATATGCCTTGCATCATATGCAAAAACTTTTTTTGAGATATTTTTATTTTCTGTAGTATCAAATGCTGACCTGGATTTATGTAAAAATTTCTCAGAGGGCTTAATTCAATACACAGTTAGTTGGTGGCTTGCTGGAATGTGTAAGAAAAAAAATCTGGTTTAACACAGGTTTTCTTTTTTCATCAAGTCACTAACTTCCTGCATACCTAATAGCTTTTGTATATAATGCACACATACATTCACAATTATTTATCTATGTCCTGTATTCTTTCTTTATTTATTTAACAATTTTATAGCAGATTTAGCAATGTCCGTTCAAAAGAAGGCTTCCTTTCCTGTTGCCAGTCTTCATTGAAGAATGAAGATTATTCACTTTGTTTCACTTTAGTCTCTGGGAATGCAGAATTGTCATTCAGTTTTAGACAGAATGTCACAGAACTGAATTCTACCTGCATCACAGAGATATAGTACTGTCACATGTTAACATACTGTATAGTTAGTGTTATACTCTAGTGCCCGTGTCTGTAGTTTGGTTGCTTCATACACACAGAGAAACATATAAACAGTCTGGAATCTGTACTAATATGAAATCTGTACAAATATGAACTAATCAGTAAATATTTAGCATGAATTTCATTTTGACTGTTGAATTATCCTGGCTGAGATTTCATTTTGACTGTTGAATTATTCTGGCTGAGGTGTGAATTAAGCAACAAACTCCTCCATGTATACAGAGACCTCTGGGCTGTGCCAGGGGAGATAATCTGTACTTACTATGAGTGCCAGCACACCGTGTGCCATTTGCTTTGAATTTCGTCAAAGTGAAATCAAAATCAGCTGTCACCTGATACAATAAAGCAATGTACTTATACAAAGACATACAAATGGTCCCTAACATTCTCCCTTCTTTTCCAATTTATTAACTTTTAACATTTACAATTTGGTTTAAAAACAAACTGGACTAAAAAAAAATTTTTCTGTAAAACACAATGAACAAGCATTCTGAGAGTATTGCATTAGCAATACTAGTCCCCTACCGGCAAGTGTAATCTGGTTCCCGTTAAGAATTGAAAACGCCATAATTCCGTCAAATTCCGTCAAAAATTAATGAAGCGGGACGAAATGCAAACTTGATCTATAACTAATCAAGGTAAAGCCACATACCAAAAATCAGCTCAATATCTACAAGCGTTTAGAAGAAAATTGCGGAAAACCCGTAAAAATTGAAAAGGCCGTAATTCCGTCAAAAATCAATGAAGCGGAACGAAATGCAAACTTGATCTTTAACTCATCAAGATACACTCACATACCAAAAATCAGCTCAATATCTGCAAGCATTTAGGAAAAAAGTGTGGAAAACCAAGTGGGACAGACTGACAGACAGACAGAGGGACAGACAGACGGACAAACAGACAGACGGACAGACAGACGGACGGACAGACTCAGAGGAAACCTATAGTCCCCTCCGGTTTCACCGGTAGGGGACTTATAATAAAACACATACACAGAGTTGTGGAAAACTGCCGGTCATGCCGGCAAAACCGACAAAAAATGCTTGTGACCGGTAAAAATGCTATCGATGTCGGTCCAAATGACCGGCCCCTTTTTTTGGTTAAAGTTTTTTGTTTTTCCATTTCTCATCGGCGCACTTCCCAGCTTAATAATGGTACCTTATATACAATTGCGTAATACTTTTTTAGTCCCCTACCGGTGAAACCGGAGGGGACTATAGGTTTCCTCTGAGTCTGTCCGTCTGTCTGTCCCTCTGTCTGTCTGTTAGGAGTGAAACGGTTCACCGCGGTATCGATTCACCGCGGTATTTTTTCTCGGTTTGATACACGGTGCAAAATCTCTAATTTTCGGTTCGGTTCATTTTTCGGTCGGGATCATTATTCAGTCGAGTTTGGCATAAGGTAAAATATGTTACTCAGTATAAATAAGTATAGAAAACATAAATTTTTGATGACTGATAGCTTGTAAAATAATTTTTGACAGTCAAATAATTTTAATCAATTTCTTCTAGTCAATTTGCAAATAAAATTCGTAAAATATGTGACTAGATTTAGAAAAAGAAAGCATAAAACAACGTTGAATTTGTCTCTTTCTATCAAAATGTACCGTATCGAAAATAACCGAACCGAGAGAAAATTATACAATACGTATCGAACCGTGAAGGAGGTGTATCGTTTCACCCCTACTGTCTGTCAGTCTGTCCCACTTGGTTTTTCCGCACTTTTCTTCTAAACGCTTGCAGATATTGAGCTGATTTTTGGTATGTGAGTGTATCTTGATGAGTTACAGATCAAGTTTGCATTTCCTTCCGCTTCAATGATTTTTGACGGAATTACGACCTCTTCAATCTTTCAGGCTTTTCCGCACTTTTTTTATAAACGCTTGCAGATATTGAGCTGATTTTTGGTATGAGACTTTACCTTGATGAGTTATAGATCAAGTTTGCATTTCGTTCCGCTTCATTGATTTTTGACGGAATTATGGCATTTTCAATTTTTAACGGGAACCAGATTACACTTGCCGGTAGGGGACTAGTATTGCTAATGCAATACTCTCAGAATGCTTGTTTATACATGATCGAGGCTATAAATGAAAGTGAAACCAGCATGGTTTCGTGACCTATTAAATTTACAACTGAGGCAACATAAAGAAACAGATAAAGACAAGCTAAATATGAGAGAATTCAAATACAGTTGGGAAAGTGGTAAATCTAGTACTTCCGACTGTCCATACTTTTGTTTTTATCATCGATCGTTTTGAGATCTTTTATCGATGCACAGAATTTCTAAAATTTTCTCATTTTCTAGGTTAATATAAATCTAGTATTGTTATAAATGCAAAAAAAAAAATGAAAACGGAAGAGGACTTGGAAATGGAGACTGAATGTTATATTAATAAGTAAATAGATGTAATGAAGTAAATAAATGTTATGCCTTTTTAAAAATTTTTGGGACTTTCTATTTCGGACCGGCAAAAATCGCTTCAGACCGGCTTATCTTGTCTTCTTGCCAGTCCAAATGACTGGCTATCTGAAAAAGTTTTCCACAACTCTGACATACCTGTAACTTGTCATGGCCATCTTTGATCATATTTTGAATCACTTCTGTGACATGATCTGGGTGTGCTATCTTCACATGGGGTAACCTCAGTTCTGGTATCTGAAATCAAACTGACATTCATGACAAAGTATCCTTGACAGAAAGTCAAATCAAGTTTTATTTGGCAAATGTTGAGCATTGTATGCAAAAAAAGTTGAAGTACAGTCAACTAAAATTCTAAATATTACAAAGAAATAATCTGTATTGATATGTTACTGGGTAATTCACAGGCTTATTGTTCATTAATCTCCATAGGAAGAAAGTAACTTCTAATTTATATAAATGTATTAGGTGTCTCTGGTCCTTAGATATAAACAGCTCTAACAATTTCCATCTCAGATGTTAAAAGCAAGTAAGTGAGTTACAAAGTTGTTTTTCTGTGAACAGGTTACAATTGTTTTTTCATAAACATGAGAAAAAATTAGTCTATCATCTGACAGCAGATGTTTACATACACCACTTAGGGATGAATGCTTACAAATACATGTATTGATCTACATATGTGTCACTAGCTTGTGGAATTTTTTTTGCACAGTTTATGTTTGGGTTAAGGTGCTGGACATTCTGCTGACATCTTAATTCTTAACTTAGGCTCAGACATGCCTTTAAAAGTATCAATCTCTTACCCATTAAATTATAATATCTGTAATAATTAATCAACAGAGATCTTCAACAAAAAATCTACAAACTGTCCTACAATAATAGAACTAGTTATGACTTGCTGTTGCAATCTGTGCTTTTATTTATTTTAATAATATAGTAACACCTAGTACAGCACCTTATAAATTTACTGAACAAAAGTAATCTCTCCATCAATGTAAAATTTGTTAGCTTATACATGATACAAAGAAAGTAATTGAATGAGCGTCTGTCAATGGATATCTGAATATGACTTATGCAATGTTATGTTAAATTACAAAGTATGTGTCCTGTTGCTACCTGTTTATTATGTTTACCAAGCATTGACACAATTTTCTCTAAGTTTTAGCATTCAATTAAAAACAAATTTATTTGAGTCTTTGTACTAGTTTTGAGGGGAAATTTACCCCGGATACAATTTAAGGTTGTACATATCATGCAGTAAATTCTGGGTATCAATTTAACGAGAAATCAAACAAACTATATCTATCACTTTACTGAACTGTTTAAATTTTTTGTACTTGGCAATAAGATAAGATTTCAAAAAAAACTAAATGACCTGAAATTGCAGTTATCTATCGAGACTAAGAGAAAGTCTGAGAAGTGAAAAATGAAAACGAAAGAACTCGTGCCTTTCGGTCTATTGATCAAGTTTTATTTCTGAAATGAAGATGATTAGATCCAATAGAAGATCGGTTTCAGAAAACCATATTCAATTTACAATTAAAGAGGAAAAGCATGAAATATGTTCACATCACGATAAACACTAACATCGTAACAGAGTATTACATTTCACTTTTTTCTCTTTCCTGGAATCCTGGTCAATATAAAATTGAAACATTGTACTTCTTTGTTTTTCTCTTCATTATTTGCCCGAAGAAAAAAAAACACCAGACACTGAAATAAACATTGCTCCTTCTCAACTTTAGCATTAGGCCTAATATAATTTTAAAAATTCTTACATCACTCATTTCTGCAAATTCTGTCCTCCAGACGATCTCTTTGATCAATAAGAAAAGGGGAACCAGTTTAAGACGCTTCTTGGTTTTCAATAGAAAAGAGCGACACACAAAGAGCGGGGAAATTCAAAAGTTTAATGTTATGAACAAACAATGCAAAAAGTCGATCCAGATATTTGAAGTGGGGAATTGTGACTCTACATATTGTCGTTCTGTACATATTGTTGTCAGCGACAGTACATACCCTCACTGCACATATTATCGTCCATCGGTACATATATGGCTTCCAGTATTGATCCTGACTGCAAACTTATTTTATATGCTGATGATAGTGCAATCTTATTTTCTCATAAAAATGTAGATTTTATTTCAGAAAAACTTAGTACTGTTTTAAAACAATGTTCAAATTGGCTAGTAGATAATAAGTTATCTCTACACCTTGGGAAGACTGAATGTATTTTATTTGGATCAAGAAAGAAGCTTTCAAGTGTCCAAGATTTTCACATTGAGTGTAATGGACATACAATACATTCTATGGAAAAAGTTAAATATTTAGGAGTTTTTGTTGATCAATTTCTGAGTGGTGAATTTATTGTTGAGTCCATTGTACAAAAAGTCAACAACAGGTTGCGTTTTTTATACAGACAAGCTCGTTTTTTGGATATAAGAAGTAAAATGTTATTATGTTCTGCTCTTATACAATGTCATTTAGATTATGCTTGCTGTGCATGGTATGCAGGTTTGTCAAAGAGTTTGAAAAAGAAATTACAAGTATGTCAAAACAAAATGGTAAGATTTATTCTGAATTTAACTCCTTTACATTCCATAAACTACAAAGTGCTTAGTACATTAAATTATTTAAATATAGAAGACCGGGTACGACAACTCAGATTAAACCATGTGTATAACATATATCATGGTTGTGCGCCATCCTATCTAAGCGAAAATTTTACTTTAAGGTCAGCCGTGTCTTCACGAAACACTAGAGCATCCACTAATGAAGATTTTTTTATTCCTCATGTGAAAGCATGTCAAGTGGATACTTTTTACTATAATGGCATTAAGGACTGGAATTTTTTACCAGCTTCTATTAAATGTACTAAAGGAAAGAGTACTTTTAAGAAACAAGTTAAGAGTTTTATCTTACAAAACGGCATTTTAGAACATGAAAGTGATATGTTTTAGCATTAACTTATAAAACATATTTTATTATTTTATTGATCCTATATGTTGTCATACTTAAATTAAATTTAACGTGTAAGCAACGCAGTGCTAAAATTATAGTGCCAAAAATTGTTATAGTGCTTTAATGATGAAACATTGTATTTTTATCTTATTTAGGGTAGGACCCCATTGGAAATAAGCTCTCCAGCTTTAATGGGTTATCCTGGTATCAACTAGTCACTATCTAAAATATGGTTTCCTGAATATCTATTTATAAATCTATTTAAAATTTATGGATTCTCAAATATTGTCTTTCAAATGACTATGTGCATTTATGTGTATTTGTTTTATGTATGATGACATATGATACCAAATAAATGATGATGATGATGATATTATTGTCGCCTGCATAATGGACGACAAAATGTACAGTCATGCATCGGTACATATTGTCGTCAGCGAATATAAGTACTGTCAACATTTGCACATTTATCTGCAATAATGATGTAGTCCTCTCCTATTTTTTTTTAAATCTGATATTTTCTCCCCCCCCCCCCACCAAAAAAGGAGGGGGGGGGGGGCTACAATTGCAACTAGGCCTATTGCACATTTTGTCGCCGATATATTGTTTGACAAATATATACCACAGGAGGAAGAGAGACAGATAGAAGGATAGACAAAGTCCTAGCAGATAAATAAGTAATCAAGTTGCATTTTTTATGCCCCCCTTGTTGCTGTCTGTCGGTCCACCAACAGTTTCCGTTCATTTTCTTCGCAGAGGTTGCACATACTGAAATGAAACTGGGTATACAGATTTATCATGAGAATAACTAGGTTAAGTTCTGTTTTGGGTACGACCGAGCAATTTTTGACAGAGTTATGCCCCTTGGACTTTGAAAAATTCCTATTATTATTTTGGGGGGGGGGGGGGCTTAAGTGTTTTACAAACATCTCTTGTTTATTTAGCATTACTCGCAATACTGTAGGGAGAAAACATTTTGGTCAGAAAATTGTCCCCTTGATCGGTGTACACCACTGTGATATGCCAGGATATCGGAATTCTTGTTTTAACCTACAAATAAGGCCACCTTTAAACCAGAAAGTCTCTAATGAGACTGTAGCTCTACTGGTTTGTATTTGTAACAACGGAAGAGAAAGGCAGCACTTGCACTTGAAACTTTGCAACAGCAATAAATAGAATAATGGTCCTTGGTTTAGTCTCTTTGTGGCAAGATTGCAATCAGACTAAAACTGTAGGAGGAGGAGCCTTTTGAAAGAATTTCACAAAAAATTCTATTTTTAGTAACCATGGCAAGACCGTTCATCAAAATCAAAAACTGATATATTATGCATCTCATTGCAAATTTTTTAATGCATTCTGGAAAATAGATTTTGAAAATTCACCATTGAAATTGAATTTTCTGAGAAAAAAAAATCTCACCTACCTACCGACCCAACTGTTTCATCCTGAGTCGGGAGAGAGCAAACAAACATTATTTTAAAGTTGGCCTAAGCATATATTTTTTCCTCATTATATATATTTTGTCGTAATTCATATTGAAAACCAAAAGTAACATAAGGTTGTTCACATTAGTGCTCTTTTGGCTCGGTATCATTACTTGTGCTATTGAAATTGAGTGTTACTTTTTGTATTCAGTAGTATAATACATGAAATTATCTGGATAATATTTCTGTGTTAATCTAATATATACATGTACCAATATAATTGTGATTGGGGGTCGACATTTTTTAAAAAGTCTTCTCTTTATACCTGCTTCTTTAAAAGTTATATGAAATTGTTTAAAACTTTTAGTGCACTGGATATCAATGTATTTTTTAAAAAAGTTAAATTATTTTATAGGAGGCAACTGGTATAAATATTTCAAATTGAAGATATCTGAACATGTTATGTACTATTTGTCTGCAACCAAGCCTCCTCTTCCTGATTATATCATCATCAGCTTAATCATCATCATCATCAGCTTAATCATCATCATCATCAGCTTAATCATCATCATCATCAGCTTAATTATCATCATTATTATCACAGGGCTCGATCAACATTAACTAAAATATGACAGGTAGAGATACACTAGTCGGTACTTCGAATTCGTTTAATAATTTATTAACGATCCAAAACTTGGCTTTTTCTACACAATATGTACCGTCACAATCCCGCTGCATGAAATAGCCTACGAGACACATCTGTGTGATTTACATACCAATTAAATTCACAAAACTACCACAAAAATCCTTAAACAACCCCACGTATGGGGCGACAATATGTGCAGTAGGGGTAGGCACATATTGTCGCTGGTGATGTGTAACTTTCCAGTCGGGACAATATGTACCGATGGACGACAATATGTGCAGTGAGGGTGTCGCCGACAACAATATGTACAAAACGACAATATGTACAGAATGACAATACGTACCGTCACAGATATGCTTAAATTGAAAATTAGCCCCCAAAATTTCGAAAACTTTTAAGTGAAGATGACATTTTAATACATCTTTTTTTGCTTGTTAAGAAAATTCTGGTTTGGAATTTTTTTTTGACTGGGACTGACCCCCCTCCCCCTCCTTTCCCCGGAAAAAACCCTGGAACCGCGCCTGTATCCTAATTAAGACACTTCTTAGGACGTAACTAATTAAGAACTTTTGATAAGCTAGTCTCCAAAGACTACATAGATATTGTTTACAACGAACTCTAGAATTAATTTAATATAAACTTCAGAGTTGTGAGAATCAGAAGGAGTTAAAGCAAATTAATTTTGTAAACGACTTACCTTATCACAAGAAATCAAAATCCGAGGTCATTTTTTTTATTGTAATTGTTCTTGACATAAATAAGTTTTACATAAGGGCTTTTAATTTTGATTTTACAGAAAAGTGACTATAATATCAATGCAGGACAATTACCTTATTTTTCAGCATGTTCAAGGCATTGTGTTTTGAAGGCGAATAATACAATTTGGTAAGATTCTGAAGTAGAAGAACGGCGTGTCTATGCATCTTTTCTGTGACGTCACAATCATAACGAGATGTAGCCTCCCCGAAAATAATACCTCTAGAATTTCCAAAAATTAATTATTTCTAACACTATTTAAATCGATAATATATAAACACAATTATGACTTTCATGCAAGAATATAGATAAACATTTCACATGGCACTACCTGGTATGTTATCAAAACTTTATAATTTTGAAAAGTCGAAATAAAATAAACAATATTATTTCATCAAAACTAATGCCCTGTTCACACGGAGAGTTTAATTCGCAGTAATTTAATGCGAAGTAAACTAATGCGAATGAAACTAATGCGAATTAAATTGCGTTCACACGACAGCTAATGCGAAGTAAACTAATGCGAATTAAATTTTTATTTCTACAATAAGGCTATTCAGTAACGCTATTATGACGTCATTTTGCGAATCACGTCACATTGTGCCGAGCAGATACATTTGACCAATGATTTGACATAATGTCACAGTGTCTGTACACATTTTAGTGATTATCATAATTTTCCTTTGTTTTCCACTCAAAAATAGCACAAGTACCTATATCTGACCATCGACATGTGGCCTGTGACTTAATGCTGCCCTTACGCATGCGTCAAAATTTAATTCGAATTAGCTTCGCTTAGCGTTCACACGGAGCTAATGCGAAGTAATTTAATGCGCAGTAAATTAATTCGAATTAAACTAATTCGCATTAAATTCTCCGTGTAAACGCGATTCAAATTTAATTCGCAGTAACTTACGTTTAATTCGAATTAAACTCTCCGTGTGAACAGGGCATAAAATGATACTGTTTTGCGGACTGTCTTACGGGCGCCACATCAGTGACAGTGTACTAATCGAAGAAAGAAATGAAAAATTTTAGAACAAATTATCCGTTAGAACGTACCGTTTCAGGTTATGTTGACGACAGGGCATTATTTTTCGCACAGATGCTTCTGGGCCAAGGAAGGGACTTAGCAACCAGTTTGCAACTAGCAAACCAGAAGTCTCTGATGAGATATAGCTCTATTTCTTTGTATACTTATAATGATGAGTTTATTTTCTAAACCCATTTCATTGAAATCACACCAACGCATACTGCATAGCAGCATTCTGAAAAAAAAATTACAAATTATTCTAGTTTTAGTAACCACGGCAACATTGTTCATCAGAATACACTCTGTATCTTGGTGTGCCAAGATGCATTGAAATTGAAACAAAAATGTATAGTAGCATTTTGAAAGAGTTTCACATATTTGGTATTTTTTGTAACCTTGACCACACCTTTCGTTGTTTATGTGTTTGAATTATTTTTGTGTTCATGTACCAAGTTTCCTTGAAATGAGACTGGAACTGTAGGAGCACAGAGTTTTCAAATATTACAAGAAAGTCTGTTTAAGTGAAAATGAAAAAAACAAGAGGCCCATAGGCCAAAATTTTAGCCCTGCTGTTCTTCAGATTTTAAAAAGATTTTTATTATCCCTTAACAAATCGTCCCCACATTATGATCCCACCCTAACTCTAAGGAGTATGTCAATCCACACACCATGGGGATGCTTCAATATCGATATGACTAACATGGCCTTGCAGTTAAGAAGGAGAAAATTCTTTTCCTGTATACATGCATTATGTAAAATTTGATCCTGATTTTAGGCAACTCCATAATTTAAAAAAAAGAAATTCATACAACATGGGAACGTTAGCAGGAAGCCTTCATATAATTTTCATTTTTTCTGGTCCAGTGGTTGTTGAGATTAAAAAAAATCTTATGTATTTCAATGTAAAATTTGATCCCTTATTTTGGCCCTACCTTACCCCCGGGGGTCATGATTTGAATAATATGTAGAATCTTTACTGCCCCAGGAAGTTTCCACACAAGTTTCACCTTTTCTGATTCTTCAGAAGACTTCTAAAGATTTTTCTTTATATATTTCAATGTAAAACTTTTATCACCTACTGGGGTGGGTCCCACCCTAACCCCGGGTGTCATGATTTGAATAATTTAGAATCTACACTTCCTCAGGAAGCTTCCATATAAGTTTCAACTTTTCTGGGCCTATGGTTCTTAAATTGAGAAGCTTTTGACAGATTTTCTTTTGAAAGATTTTCTTATATACATGTATCTTAATTAATGTAAAATATTAACCCCCTATTTTGGCCCCACCTTACCCCAAGGACTCGATCATGATTTGAACAATTTAGAATTGGCACTTCCAAAAAGTTTCACCTTTTCTGGCCTAGTGGTTCTTGAGAATATTTATTAATGACCCCACCCTATTTTTGCCTTCCTGGATTATATCCCCTGAAAGCGGGCATGGCCTTTCATCGAAAAAATCTAAAATACCCTTTATCCAAGGATGCTTTGTGCCACCTTTGGTTAAAATTGATCCAGTGGTTCTTAAAAAGCCAAAAATGTGAAAAGCTTACAGTGACAGTACGGCGCATCTCAACAAAAAACTGACTAGATAAAATTTTCCGACAAGATTTGGATTTTTTTTACTACTCATAAATGTATAAACTTTCAGAAAATTACAACTTTTACAATTAAATAATTTGGATTATTTCATTAAAATTAATAGTTATTTATGGGACGTAAATATATACATCGCAACGTGTTCGGGGTTCCACATTCCATGCTATGCACGCATGCGTAGTTTTCATAAACAAAACAGCATGGTTAGAGAGGGAATCCCGGTAGGCCTGCTACATTGACAAAGTTGACTAAAAATAAAAAAAAACTGAAAATAGAACTTGAAAAAGCAACTTTCCTGACTAAACTTTAGTTTGGGGATTAATATAATCGCTGGATAAGGAAGAAACGGGAACTCGGCGACACTCACGCAGGGCTCTCGAAGGTTCTATTCGACAGGTTTGTTGATACTTGTTATCATTTCCTCATTTTTCCGTCGCTTTCAAAGAAAAAAAATAGTGTAATCTCAACATAAAAAATAAATCTTTGACTTATAAACATTGTTGCCATTTGAAATGATAACTTTTTTTAACTGTGCAGAAAAATATTTTGTTTGACATTTGCCGCGATAACGTATGCATGGTATGATTAGTTGGTTTTTCCTTCCTCGCCTGAATGCAGAATAAAATCTTTACGATTATTATTTTAGATTGTTTTATCAGAAAGTTATGATAATTTGTTTTTTGAAAATTGCTTTCACCTAATATTCATTATAACTGTAAACTCTACAGTGTAGGCATGTGCCGTTTTAGAATTCACGTGGTACAAATAAACAGATTTAAGATTGCTCCCTTAATTTTTCGGCAGATTCTAATTACGTTAATTTTGATTGAGTAGAGAATATTTCTATTTCTCAAACTGCTTACATCAACTTTATACCTTATTTCTTAATGACATATTGGGTAAATTTGGATGAAAAAGCACACATTTTGCAGCCGTACTGTCGCTTTAAAGAAAAGCGGACACGTGTACAGACAGACGGACGGACATACCCCGGACAATGGGTGAACTAAAAAAAATAACAAAAGACGCACGAGTCTTAACAGTCATCTGAGTACAAGACAACACTAGCTGACAAGAAATTTCGTAATTTAACATTTTTGTTTTAAAACGATAAAAGATAAGTCATATAGGTCACTGACATCAAATACCAGTCAGGAATAATATAGTACATGTAGTACCTTTCTCAAACTGAGAAATGCACCGATAAGTGGATTTGTTTGCAATTAATGTGTTTACTTTGTCATTGCCGAACATACATACGTAACGATCGTGATTCTGTGCAGGAACCAATCAAATGATCCGCGCATATTTATTACATACAACGATATTTCGGAGTAAAAGACGAGATCACCCATGGGTATCCGACGATGAGATAAATCAAAATAAACTGAAAAATGGTGTTATGTTGCTCAAAAGCAAGAGAAATATGATGATAAGGATTGAACACACTTAGTTTGTTTGCTTCACACCCAGGAGCTGAAAAAGTTTCAAAGAAATACTGCATATTCAATATACAATTAGTAGAGCCCCACCTAAAACCCGAACCCCTGACCTAGGGGCCATGAAATTCACAGTTTCTAAAAAGACACCCTTACATCATAACCATGCACTTAGTGTCTATGCTTCATACCCAGGAGAAGAGAAGAAAATTTCCAAAGATATAATGTATGTTCTCTATATACGCCATAGAGCACCACCCTCATCCCTGACCCAGAGGCCATGAAACTCATAACTTTAGGAGAAACACCCTTGCTTGTCATAACCATGCACTTAGTTTATTTGCTTAATACCCAATGAACAGAGAGAATTTTTCAAAGAGTTTATCATTTTCACTATATGATCAATAAAGCCCCACCCTAAATCCAGAACCCCTAACCCTTCAGGCCATAAATTTCATAATTTTGGTAGAGGGCCCAATGCTTATTACAATCATGCCAACAGTTTGACTGCTTTATGTCAAAAAGAGTAAAGAAGATTTTTAAAGACTCCAATAATTTTGATGGTTTTTGTCCCATCCCTCAGGCTCCCAGGCAGGGGGAGCATGAATTTTTGTTCTCCTTTACCCATTAGATGCTATTATCATAATTAGTTCAGTAGTTACAGCGAAGTTGGACACGTTTGTTGCAGAACTGTTGCAAAAATTTCACGTACTGAAACATTACCATCGTATGAAATATGGTCTTAGAAAAAGCTCATGTGATGCATCTCCATTACAAAATTATGAACAAAATGCACTGTAGGAAAGATTTTCTTCAGCAAGTGCCACTGAACTTCCATCATCCACAGTCTCCAAATGTAATCTTTATGTCAACGAGATTTTTCTATTAGAAAGTTACAGACCAGTCAAGAACTTTAAAATGATTCTGGGACAAAGTTATGAAACACTCTTGTCATGACCAAGCTTCTTTTATTTCTCCATTCACCCATCCTGAAAATGTGGGTCAGATCCAGCATCCAAAGCTAGTCTAGTAATACGCTCCCCAAAAGACGCATGATCAACACAAGTTTGGGCACACAGGGCTTATAGTTACTTGGGGATAAACCTACTCTAAATCTTAAAACTGGTCACTCATCTAGTAAATGGAGGGAAGATTCAGTGATCTGCTCCTAAAACCAACACTAATACCAAAGATACCGAGTATAGCACAAGCTTATCTCAACTTCAGAAATTGTGGCACAATAGCACAGCAGGATGGAGCATCCTCCATACCCCCAAAACTTACAAAATAAAACAAACACACTTCTTTGATTTCAGATTTTATTTTTTAGCTATTTCTCTTTGAAATTACTGAACAATGTACCATGCAGATTCATTAAATTTGAAAACACTGCTTTAAGGTTTTTCATTTGCAATACTTATTTTCTGTTAATCCTTCAATGGCCAAAAGAAACAGGTTAAACATTGTTAAATACTTGTACCTTAAAAAATTTAAAATGAAGCATGATACAGGTATATAACTGAGTATTACCAACAGGATGCCAAAGTGTTTGTCACACGTCATTTACTTCATCTGCCCCCTTGTGTTTTGAAGGACAGGTCTGAGCAAAAGTGGGACATTTTAAATGTAAAATTTTCAATGTATCCTATAACGAATATCAAATAAAAATCAGAGCCAAAAATATTATTGGTATATTTTCTCCCTATCCAAATTTTGCATCCAATTTAATAATGTTAATACTCCTTTCCCAGCTCAAAATTCCCTACCCATAAATTTTAGTGAGACCAAAATTTTGCTCAGTTCTGAATATGTCCTTCTTCAAGTTTTTTTTCTTTGTCCCATATTTTAAAATTTAAAACCTACTTATTAAGAGTTTATTTATTCCTGGGAATCAATCCGATTTATTCACTCACCTCTCTAATTTCAATTTATTCTATGCACTTAAAATCAATTTTGACAATCTCCATCAGGTAGAAATCCCAGGAAAAATTTCCACCTACATTCTTTGTTCTTGTTTTCATACCTTTGCTTGCCAAAAACATTTTTCAATCAAAACAAGAACATTGCTCATACAAACATACTAAATTATCAACAACTTGTCTAATACCTAAAGCAATCTTTACTTAATTATGAGGGCCCAATATCCAAACCTAACTTTACTTCATTATGGGGTCCCAATATCCAAAGCCAACATTATTTCATTGTGGGGGCCCAATACACAAAGCCAATGCTACTTCATTATGGGGGTCCCTATACCCAAAGCAATTTTTACTTCATTACGGGGGCTCAATACCCAAAGCTAACTTTACTTCATTATGGGGGCCCAATACCCAAAGCCAAAATCATTGTTGGGGTCTAATACTTGTCATTTATTTAAAAAGACCCTTATACTGGTTTCCAAAATTGGCAATGGTCACAAAAATAGTTTTATATAAATAAACATTGCAATATCATCTTTGTCAAAGAAAAAAAGAAATTTGGTCAGTGTAAAATTGAAGGAATGTAGCATATCATAGCCTTCTTACAATATATGACCCAACTGCAGCTAAGAAAATGTTAACTCCCTTGAATATCTTCAGAATTTTACATCTAAAAAAGAAAATCGTTTTATCAAAAAATTTTCCGACTAAAAATATAGAAAATATGTCAATGTGTACTTGTATTTTTCCTACGACTGTCTAAAAAATGCCTCAAAATTATTGAAAACAAATGAACAAATTTCTCTTTCATTTACCCCCCAATAAACCAAATAGCACATATTACGAACACATTAACAGACACACAAAGGGGAACAACTCAATATAGCACAGTCAACAAAATAAAGAAAAAAAAAAAGAAAACAAAGTCTTTTGGCATAACAGGTCAGCTCGGAGGCTGATTGTTTTCCTCTGTGTTCACGGAGACTGAAATCTCTGGCAATATTTAGAAAGCTGCCTTAATTGACCAGTCCCTGTCTGGTAGAGGTTCTAATGGATCAGATGCTTGCCTTGTCACACAATTCTCTGAAACACAATCTCACTCACAAAATATTTCAGAAGTCAATTTCTTCCTATTTTGTTGTCAGAGTCCTTTTTGTTCAGTGTGTACTGTAGAACGAATGTGTTGAATTAGACACTTTCCATTAATTCTCAAATTGAAGTTTTCCGCATGCATCAACTCCAGAAATATATTTTAAAGTTTTCACTCTCAGTTTAAGCACTGTTGTTTTGTTGTCACTATTATTTCACTACTGTGTACAAACATGTCAAATTTTTTATCTGATTTGTTGTCACGGCACGTCCTATTTCCCCAGGTTTGGTATCTCTCTCGTATCTTCCTCATCAGAGAAAGGTTTAAGGCACAATTGTTCAAAATCACACATATTCCTCACACACAGACACACATACAGTAGCTAACATACAGCAAATATTCGTTTGTTGTCGACAGCTAACAGTTAAACCCTGAGATCATCTGATACAGAATAAACTGGTACTCCTGATGGTTCTTGTCTGGTATCCCTTATTATCTAGTATATGAAACATACCCAGTCAAAACAAGATTTCTACACTGACAGATTTGGCTGGGTAGCCTTTCCCATACAGATATTGTCTTACTGCTGGTCAAATAGAAAGGCATCACACTGCTGGTTCTAAGTGTGCTCATACATCAAGGCTTCAGCTACTCCAATGGGCTCATCTTTATTTGTCGTGCCTTTACTCTCCTTTTTTTTTGGTTTGGTTTTTGCTATTTTGACATTTCAGAAAACACCTTTGCTGTATGAGCACACTTTTTACAATGAAAATAAATTGCACATCCCTATTACAAGATATATAAAGTTGATTTGTGGTGACAGTGGATTTCAGATATAAAATTTGACTAGCTTACACTTACAACCTTGACCAGCATTCACTCCTAGAAACACTTTTGAGAACATACTACTCTTTGTGGCTTAGTTCTCCAGGAACCAAGCTCATTGTTATTTACACAGATCAGAAGACCAGTAATTTTATGGGGGGCGGGGGATTTCCCCTACCCCGTCACACCTTAATTCTATACACAATTGGAGGGAAATCTGTACAAGTGAAATACTGCTAAGAGGAGAAGGCTGCTTTTGATTTAGGGAAGGTACGACTTTGTATTGTCACTTTGTGACACAACAGTAAAGATGACAGTGAATATAAATAATGTACAAATGTTCAAGAAGGAAGCTTACATCCATAACAGCTGGTTGACATGGGATTGTCATTAGGTCTTCAAGTTCATCAAATCATGCATTCACTTCCTTGTGTCATTCAGAAACTCTGACCAATTTACTATGGAAACTGAGGAACAGTCACTTGACCTCAAATACACATTGCAATATCCAAATTATACACATTGCTTAAATATCCAAATAAACATTGCTTAAATATCCAAATGGCTTAATTTCCAACAAAAATTACTTCTTAATAAGCATTGTGTTCCTCCAGATCCTATTATGTACGGTGTTGACAGTTACATTTTAAAAATAATATTAGTCTCTCAATTTGAGTGCATATCACCTGATGACAACAATGGAATACAAAAAAAACCATGTGACAGATACAAGCTTCCATCCACACTGAGATCAACAGAAATAAATAGCTGATTCTTAGGCAGACTCCACAGTTTTGTTTAACATTTATCTGCACCAAAAATATATTACTCTAGCAGGGAAGAGACCACAAGATTGATGACGGATAAAACTCAATTTATGAAGGTATAGGACTGCTTTCAATACACACTTTCTAAAATAAATTCAACCCTTGTCATAAAAAGAAGGGTACTATATCCCATACAATCTTCAGGCTTTGGTAAAGGACACTGTGTCATAAAGGGCACTATGCCATATACAATCTTTAGACTGCGTTTTTTGTAATGACATTGTTCTTAAACTCAATTGGTGCATTTTTCTAATTTCATCTTATGTCATCCAACTTAGTACACCTTAAACTCATAAATAACTTGAGCTATATTTAAAATAAAGCTTTTTTTTTCTTTTATCCAGCATCAATCTTTGCTCTCTCCCTTTCCTCAACATTTACAAATTTACAATTCATTGACCTAAATCTACATTTCGCTTATCACCAAACTGTCTTAATTCTAATAAAATTGTGACAAAATCTGGTGAAACAATAGCACTGGTTACCTCCCCCTGCCAAACCCCTTCCTCCAAGAAATAATGCCATATATAATGAGAGATGAAGACACATGCTGATGTTTTGGTTGATATGTTGTTCCTCAAGGCTTTCCAATGA